TTAGCCATGTTAGCCATCATTGGGCATATTTGATATATAAAACGGCAGACACAATCATTGGGCATATTTTATATATAAAACGACAGACGCAATGTGATGAGAAAATCTCACTTGGCCCTGTTGGTCAGATGAGCTAAAAAAGTAAATTTTGCAGAACACGAAATGTGTGTATTTTATTTTAGAAAGAGCTTTTTTTTTTTAATTATCGACAGAATAAAAATATAGCAATTGAGTAGTTTTATTAGCTAGGGAGGACCATTTTATATTTTGTGATGGGGATAAGGGATGCTAAATGAAATGAATGTGATGGTGTCTATAATTGAAGATCAATAATATTGCCCAAGACTGTGCTGAAAACGATTTTTTTTGGTACATTCAGATGCACATCAGCCACATACTATTTGAAATAGGAAATAAGTGTGTATCCAGCCTTATAACGGTTGAAAATGATTATTCTGTCTATGCAAAACCTCTTGCCTAAAAGACCAACCCCAACCAAAGAAATAAATTGGTCGTCCTCATAGCAGTTCTGTTCCTTTTGTCTTGTTCTTGTAGATTCAAAGGACCTGTCTTAAAAATAACCTTTGGTATCTTAGGGAGAGTAATGTCTAGAATTCATTTGGCAATCATACCACATGTATTTGTTTTTGTATTTAAATTTGTAACCAATCCCTTGAAATTGAATTTGCCATATAATGTACTATTCTGGATTATACATGAGTTCTTTAAAGGAATTACTAATTTAAAGAAAACTGCATGTTTGATATTAATTTTTTTCTGATTTTTTCCCAATGAAACTGAAAATATATTGTTGCTAGGCATTTTTCCAATAAAAATATATGGTTTCTAGGCACTTTTCCACTATAAATGGATGATTGTTTAGGACTAATGTGGTGACATTCCCCCTTGATCTGTTAGGTAAGGTCTATGTAATTTGCTTTACATAGTCCTGAATCAAAACATTTATGGTTACTAGGTACTTTTTTTTATCAAATATGGGTGGTTGTTAAGCACTTTCGACATGACCTTGACTTCTTACTGTTGCCCTGTTAATAAAGTAGTGGCTTTAAACATCCTGAACATTTTCCCCATGTATTGTATGCTTCTTTCTATTATCTTTTCTTACAAAATTCAATTAATATACACAAGGTCAAAGGTCAATGTCATCAATGATCTTTGACCTCAGGTTAAATTTATGGTAATTTAATTGCCAATAGTTTGCACATCATAGTCATTCAATAGTTATTACTTTTATAGGATTATCTTAATAACATGGTCAAATTTCAGAGGTAAAAAGGCAAAAATGACACATTTTGTTTTCCATAGCAACCATCCTAGCACCCTGAATCCCAAACATTTTGTTATAATTTTTGACAAGAAACATTGATACTTTTCATTTATAACCACAGCTTAAATGGAGGTGGATGCAAAAATGTATATTTTGTTCATGCAAAATGTGTATAATTTGCCTCCACAAATACAATGAAAAATGACCTCAGCTCCTGCGGTTGTGACAATATTCAGCAAAAATAATTTTTATATATGACATTGCTGTTTTGTTTTTTAAGTATCAAGTTTCTGAAAAATATTAACAAATATCATTAAATAAAATCAGGTTTTGCTTTCAATGCTAAATTCCTCAAAATGTATCGGAAAACTCATTGACTTGGTTGCCTAGCAACATTTTGGTGAGTATTTTTCTTTTTTTTTTTACCTGATTACATGTTAAGGCTAAGTTTCTGGAAAATCGGTGACTTTGCGTGCTGAAATGCTCTTAACAACTATATGTTTTGTGGTAGTAATTTCTGCTTTATTCCATAGTTGTAAAATGTAATAGCTGTAATTCTTTTTTATGACTGATAACAGCATAGTTCCTTGGACAGTGCCAAACTAATATAAATATCATTATACAGCTTGCAAACTTCACCTAGTAATAGACTTCTGGTGGTAGGGATAAGCCACTGGAAGATGTGAATTTTTCGTGCTTCTGTGATATATCATATATGGACCATTTATAGCTGACTATACAGTATGGGGTTAGCTCAATGTTGAAGGCTGTATGCATATGGTAACAAATAATTGCTTACACCCAGGTCATTTAGACTCCTTTGGATACTTGTGTCATTGCATGGCAATCATACCACATCTCCTTATTTCTATATGTATGGTTGAAAAATTGACTTGATACTTCAGATACTTTGGAGTTGAACTATAAATATTCCTGGAATATTTCTATTCTGTAGATTACACACTTTGGGTTAAGCATTCACTGTGGATGTGGATAGCCAAGATTTCAAACTTTTTGACTTGAATTTAGTTAACTGTTATTGCTAATGATCGAATGCTACATACTTTTTAAAATGCACCTTTACACAAGTTTAGACAATGCTCTTTCTTATGGGTTCCAATATATGAACTTAGACTTAAAACAGAGCCATGGTCAATAAGCACAAAAACTAGGTCATAGGGATCTACTTTTGCCCTGATGCTAATCTGCTTCCTTTGGTAAATAACTTTTTACACAAATCAAGTGTTTTTAAAAAGTTGAAAAAATCCAGTTTCCCTTTGAATGAACTGTAAAGTGTTTCTTTTTCTAATAGTTTATCCGGAAAACAATGAAAATAATTTATGAAAGTCCTCAAAATCTCCATGTCACCATGCACGATTACTTATTCTGTATGTGTTGTCAAAGAAGCAAAGTCTGAGAATGGCTTCAAAATATAACATCATTACTGTATGCAAAGTAATGGGGGGATTTAACAAGCTAACTACACATGGTATACTAGAAATGAAGTTTACAAATTAAGCTATCACAGTAATTTAAGACAGAAACACATAATTATTTTAGATAGTCTGTCTCCTTTAATATTTTGTTCCCTATGTGAGAATCCTTTTAGGTATTTTACTGTCATTTTATAATGCCTATAATGAGCTGTCTCTATGAGCAATATAGGAATGTGTTTATTTTCATCCTGAGGACCATAGCATAGTGGCATTGTAACAGGTAAATTTTCCAAAATGAATATTCTCCTTTATTGTAAATGAAATGTAGAAAATTTCCAAATTTTTCATATTTGGATTCTAAGTGGAGAGAATAAAGTGTAAAAGAGTATCTTTTGCCAAGTATAAATAAATAACATTAACAATACCAATTTTACTGCACCAGATGCACATTTCAAAAAAAAATCTCTCTTCAGTGTTGCTTGAGGCCAAAATATTTGAAGAGCTGATTAACCAAAAAGGACCTAAAGTATAGCCAAATTGGGATTAGGAATCAAAATTTTTGCATGAGGGAGATATGTTTCTTAATTTTAGATGATTTCCAAATTTTATGATAGCAAATTTAAATCAAACAATATCCATGAATAAGAATCATTACACTTGAGTAAATTTACATGAACTGGACTGAGCACCTTCCACATCTACATCGTTGAAATGCAAAGGGTCTAAGACCCATCACACAAGTACTAATTAAGTCATTCAAGATGGTGCTCATTTAAATCATATTTACATGTGAAATTAAAATTTAGTGTTTGTTGTGTGACTACTCTGTTAAATAAGATGTGAGGCTGTTCTTGAATGCCTCTGCATCTTCTATATTTAACAGTCTTATTGGTAAGGTATTCCAGTCTTTGATGGTCCGTGGAAAGAAGCTGTATTTGTAGGTGTTGGTTGAAGTTTGAAGGTTTCTAAATTTACTTTGGTGATATTGCCGTGTTGTCCTGCTTTGTTGTTCTACATAATCTGGAATATATATGGCTATTTTTTGATGTAGAGCTTTGTGGAACAAGCAAAGCCTTTTTATTTTCCGTCTGGTCTCTAATGATGGTAATTTTAGTTCATTTAGTAGGCTAGTAACTGATTCAGGTTCTCTGCTGCATTGATGTTTCATGAAACGTGCTGATCTTCTTTGCACCATTTCTATCTGTTTGATGTGGTTTTCCTGATATGGATCCCAGGCACTGCTTGCATATTCAACGTCTGGTCTAACAATGGCTTGATATGCTCTTTTCTTAATTTCTTCTGGGAATTTGCTGATGTTTCTCCTCAGAAAGCCTAATGATCTATTCGCTTTTGCCGTGATGTTGTTGATGTGTATATTCCATTTCAGGTTGTTGGTGAACTGAACTCCTAAATATGGGTTTCGGCTTACATTTTCTAAAATTTGGCCATGCATGTGATAGTTGTGTTTTATAGGATTTTTCTTGTTGGTTATTCTTAGAACATAACATTTTGATGCATCAAATTTCATCTGCCATTTAGATGCCCAGTCAATCAATTTATCCAGATCTTTTTGTAATGGTAGCAGTCATCATTGCAATCTATTGCCAGGTATAACATGCTATTATCTGCAAAGAGACGCAACTTTGACTTGATGTCATCCCCAATATCATTGATATATAAAAGAAACATCAATGGGCCTAAAACTGTACCTTGGGGTACTCCTGATTTTACAAAGGTGTTTGTAGATGTTTCACCTTCAACTGCTACACACTGTTGTCGTTGTGTGAGCCAGGCCTTTACCCACTCTATTATTTTGCCATTTATTCCGTAGTGCTTTAATTTCCGCAGAAGCCGTATGTGAGGTACTACATCAAATGCTTTACTGAAATCTAATATTAGCATATCAACTTGCTCTTTTTTATCTAGATGTTTTGCTATATCTTCAATTGTTGTTACTAATTGCACCTTATCCTTAGTTCATTGTAATATAATAAAGATTAACCTCATATCAATTAATATCAGATTATGCCGTTTGATGACCCTACAACCATCTTGACCCTGCCACAAGAAAACTCTTGAAGGACCTTTCAGCCCATGTGAAGATGAAGAACATCATAAAAAGCACTGTTCCTTTGGCATATTGGCCACTTTTCTTGTATCATATGAGATTCATTCGATCTGCACTTCCAACCAATATTTTTTTCAAATCTAACATCAATTCATTTAATTCTTTAAAATGTATTTTCATCCCAATATCCAATTAAAAAAACATCAAATATTTGTATTTATTTACCTTTATTTTAGTAAATTAAAAGATACACATTTACATTTTTAAAGATAGTGTGTTCAAAGTAATATAATTACGCTGAATCTTGGTACAAGAACATTCAACTGTGCATACTTGATTAAATTGGTCTATACCTTGTTTATTCAAACCCAACATTACATGAAAGGCTGTCTGTCATTAACACAATCAGTTATCATAAACATACAGGGAAAGAATACCACACTGTAATGCAATCCTAGTTCTGCATTTGAAATTAACAAAATACATTTCAAGTAGATATTACAAAAGGTGCATTATATTATACAGTGATTCTAAATCTGATTTTATATGACAGTCTATACCCTTAACATATGGCAGTAAAATGCTTCTAACATTGAATTCAAAATTTGACCAATCTTTTACTGGCATTATAAGACTTAATTAATTATAATATAACCAATGTGAAGACATATTTGTATATAAAATGTAACTGGTTATTATCAATACAGCTCATCAATATGAACAGGAAATAAATCATATTTACAATTTAGCTTGAAATAAAAAATATCAGTAAGTGAAAATAAAACAAAACCGCTAACATAAACCAACAAACTGACAATGATTATTCATAATACCATAAAATAAAAATAAGTATTGATAATATATGTATATCACAGAATGCTTTCCACTAATACCACTTAAGTTCAGCACTGGCATCTTATACCAATGTAATATCTACAAAATATTTCAGTCATCAATATTTGTTAAATGGCATAATGACCAAGATATGGAAATGAAGTAACTATGTATGAAAATATATAAGAAATAAAGATAAGAAAAAAAACCCATGACTTTATCAATTTCAGAGACTACACTCCCATTAAAAATCATGCTCATAGTATTTTGAAAATAATGGTGAGTTGAAAAAATGTTTGAAAAAAACTTTTTATTAAATGGTTTGTAATTCAGATGAATTTTGTAGAAAAAAATCTAGTTTCATTCCAGAATTTTCACATCTATGTTGTTTATTTATCTCATACTATAGTTCCCTTGATAGCTGAGACTATAATTTTAGTGAAAAAAGAAAATATCAATGATAAAGTCTTGTGAAATTGCATGTGTATAATGATGAATTAAAAATATTATGCAAATTTTTCTTATAGAGAAATATGAGTAAAAATGGAAGCTATCACAGAAATCCTATTCTGATTGTTAGAGTTTGTATATAGGTCACTGCAGGAGAACTCTGAATGTTCAATTCAGAATGTTCCTTATAAATTGTATGAAATCAGTCAAGAGAAACAGAATATTTTGGTGCACAATCAATTTATATTATAGTAGAAATGTTTTTATCATAAATATGTATTATCATAAAAATATACACCATATTTATCATATTTCAAAGAAGTCTGAGACAAATAAAGGAAAGGATGTCAAAATATACAATAAAATATCATTTAAACAGATGATTACATAGAGGAACACAGAAGTTGTACACAGTCATAACCAATTAGGCTGTAAATACAAATCAAACTATCACTTGTCTTCTCCAGTTGCCACTATCTTCTTAGCAAAGTCCAAAACTTTTTTGGTTCGTTTTTCCCAGACATTGAAGTTATCTAAGAATTTTGAGAAAGATTCTGGTTTGGCGGTCAGATCTTCCAGTGTGATCTGTTTATCATATACTGGATTGTCTCGTAGCCATTGTGACAGCTGAATCTGGAACTCATCAGCTTCTTTGTTCTGATTCAGGGACTGTAGTGTGTTGATCAGGTGATCAAAACAAACATGGACCCACTTCAGGTATACACCAGCTGAATCTGAAATGGCAAAATTCATTCAGTAATTTATAGATTAGTAAAAAGAACTATCATTTTTTTTGTGCCTAATCACAATAAATTTAATACCTTTACGAATTGAAAACTCTGAAAATCCTACAATTAAAATTTCAAAGGTTAAGAGGCGACATAATAGAGACCTACAAGATAACAACAGAAGTATAAAACCCAAGAGTAACAGAAGACTTATGTGTGCTTAACACAAGCTTGACAACAAGAGGAAACTCTATGAAATTGGGAAAAATTGAAGCAGACTTGATATTAAAAAATATTGCTTCAAAAACCGAGTGGTGGAAGTGTGGAATATCCTACCAGATACAGTTGTGACAGCAAAGAATGTAAAGACCTCTGAACGTAGTCTGCACAAACACTGGAAAGATTACCCAACGATATATGACTTTACCACTGACTACACATATAACACCAGAAGTAGCACAAGTGTAATTAGTAGGGATGTCAACGAGTACTCGAGTACTCGAGTATCGCTCGGTAGTACAGAGTATCGAATACAAAAATAATACTCAAATTATCGGTGTCCTTTGGGATACTGTCCCCGTCTTTTCATACAATTGATTTTCTTGAGAATATCCCTCGGAAAATTAAATAGTAATTACGGATTAGTATTAAAGTGTAAATAATATACATTTGTATGATGTTGATCATTTAAAATGCAACTGTTACAGAGGTGGGCTTCAAATGAGAACAGTTACCCAAGGCTAACAATTCTTGCAAAGCGTATATTAGCCATTCCCGCAACATCGGTACCGTCCGAAAGAATTTTTTCATCAGCAGGATTGTTAGTAACAAAATTACGAAAGCGTAAGAACGAATAAGAACAAATGCATTCCCCGTAGTGACCCTCAATGATTGTTAAACGCATCAGTGACTTCTAATCGTCTCACCTTTGTAAATATTATGTTTTCTTTACGATTGAGGAATGTAACTGTTGTGTGATCATGTGTGACTTTGTAATAATTGATATTCAATTCGTATTTATTAAATTGTTTATTAGATAATTGTTTACTTAATTACTTCATTTAATAAATGATCTATCAATTCTAGTCTCACATAATTAGGGGGATTAAAAGTCAATTAGACAACGACTGACAATTCGTAAAATGTGTAACTTAATATGTAATTTTACAAATCTGTATTTTACCGAGCGAGTACTCGAGTATCGCTCGGTAAAACCAACGAGTACTTGAGTATTTATTTCTAACCGAGTTGACATCCCTAGTAATTAGTGAAGATGAAATAGAACCAAATAAAGAGGAGCAAACTGACCTCCTGTGTTTGGAAACTCTTAGGTTGATGAATAACCAATGACTATAAAAAAAGTTATTGTTCTGTGAAAATGATTGTTCATATCATATTCAGTATACTTCAAATTTCAAACTGAATTTTGAAAGCAAAAATTGCATTTAATTTTGGTATTTGTTACTTATGAACTATACAGGGCAACATCTTACCTTGATCCAGAAAACTGACAAATTGTTATCCTTGAAATGAAGTAGTTATAATGCTGTTACCAAAACACAGGCAATTCTGAGAACTTTTATATTTCTTTTAACATTTCAAATATCTTATCTAAATATTTACCTTTAAAAAAAAACCTTCCTATCTAATAAATTTAAGAAAACACTATATACATTTTGTGTGTCTGAAGCCCTTTCAGGACGAACCTTCATCAGGAATGCTCAAACCTGAACATTTGAAAGCCAGGCATGTATAGATACATAGAATGAATAATAAATATCACTATCTGGTTAAATTAAGGCAGTTGAATGAAATGTTCAGGAAATAAGATTGATTTCTTAATTTTGAATTTAATTAAATAAATCAAAAATAACATATAACTTACATGAAAATACATTAAAAAATGTATTATATTTATGCATTCTTTAATAAATCAATCTTATCGTATGACATTGGAAGATACTTCAAATTTGGTCTCAATTATTTTTTTTAGGTAATTGAGTATTTCAAACTATATGTTTGATAAACCTCAAGTAAATCTAGACTTTTACATTAAAAAAACAGGATGCCTGTGATGATATGGTAAATGGAGCTGGGTACAACTTACCAACATGTGTAACAACATGACTGAACAAATTAACAGCTTCCTTTGGTTTATTAAAGATTTTGTGTAATGTTGCTAGTGTAGCCATTGCCAAGAGGAGATAATTGCTGTTCTCTGGTTGACAAAGCTTCATATATACAATAGCTCTATGTAGTAATTCGTCAGCCTCTTCTACCCTGTAGGAAAAAATAATATACTGATAGTAAATGGCATAAGTGTGGCTTATCTCATATATTTATTGTACCAAAATTGTCTTGTAGAATATAAACAAATTTCCGATAATAAAGAAAAAAAGTAGGGGAGGGTATTTGCACTTTTGAACATCTGTAGAAATTTTCCAATTCTAATCTTTAATAATTTTGATAATTTCATGAAATACCAGTACCCCCAACAAATGGATTATAAACAGCATAGAAAGAAATATTAATTATGTCAGAAGTTTAAGCATATATCTCTTCATGATACATATGTAAACTTGATTAGATTGGTCTGTTTCTTTAAAACTTACACTATTATCATCTTTTGACAAAATGTATTATAGTTTTCTAAGAGGATTTGCCTTTAACAATACCAATAGGCCAAAACACTTTATCGAGTAACAATTTTATTCAAATTGATCTATTATTGAATAAACAGCTGTGCAATGAGCGCATGATACGCCCGTCGTCTTGTGTGTGAATTTTTATGCAATAATCATAAATAGTTTCTGACATACATCCTGACATGCGAAAACCCCCTTTTTTTTAAATTTGAAGCAATAAACATAAATGGTTTTTGAGATACGGCGCAACATGTGAAAACCCCCCTTTTTAAAACAAAAAAACAATATCTCAAAAATAAAATTTTGAATCAAAACCAAAAAGTATACAGATCTTTAGATTAATATAACTAAGAAGTGTGTAAAATTTTAAGCAATAATCTTAAATCATTTTTGAGATACGGTCGACATGTGAAAAACCCCTCCCCCTTTTTTTACAAAATACTCAATAACTCAAAAATAAAATTTGAATCATCATTAAAATGTATACAGATCTTAAGATCAATATAACAAGGAAGTGTGTAAAGTTTTAAGCAATAATCATAAACTGTTTTTGAGATACAGCGCAACATGTGAATAACCCCTCCCCCTTTTTCAACAAATACTCAATATCTCTAAAATAAAATTTTGAATCATCACCAAAAAGTATACAGATCTTAAGATTAATATAACTAAGAAATGTGTAAAGTTTTAAGCAATAATCATAAATTGTTTTTGAGATACGGTGCGACATGTGAAAAACCCCTCCCCCTTTTTTAACAAAATACTCAATATCTCTAAAATAAAATTTTGAATCATCACCAAAAAGTATACAGATCTTAAGATTAATATAACTAAGAAGAGTGTAAAGTTTTAAGCAATAATCATAAATTGTTTTTGAGATACGGCAGGACATGTGAAAAAAAACACACACCAGTTTTAGTTACTAAGTCCCGTAACTCAAAAAGTTTAAATCTTATTTTCACCAAAAAGTATACAGATCGTTTGACCATCATAAGAAACAACTATGTTAAGTTTCATGAAATTTGGATAAGTCGTTCTCAAGTTATGGTGCGACATGTTTACGCTGGACAGCCAGACGGATAGACGACATTTGTATACCATAATACATCCCGTCAAAATTTTTGACGGGCGTATAAAAATTGAAGTCTCATGGTGCATGTTATTAATAAAAGGTGTGTCAATTTCAATTTAAGGAAAGATAACAATGTACATACATGTCCATTTTTGATTTAATTTGACCAAGCAGCACACACATTCTAGCTGTACATAAACTAATTTCTGAGTAATGAGTAGCCACAATTTCTAAAGCATCAATAGCCTGTGTTTCTGCTAATCGTAATGTTGAATTCTGTAGGTCTTTAGAGGAATGTAGAGCTTTCCATTGTAATGCTGAAGCTATAAATATAACAAATATGTTTAATACTCTTTTGAAAACAACATATATCATTAGGTCCTATTTCCACAAGCATCTTGAAAATTGCTTTTCATTATGTAGGATTGATTGATTGTTTTCAGCTTAACCCCTAGATCCATAATCAAATATTTTATGCATATTCAGGATGACTAAGCAGTAGATCTTTTTACATATTTTTCATGCATATTCAGGATGACTTAAGCGGTAGATCTTTTTACATATTTTTTAATTTAAGGTTTATCTCGAGTTACATTGATGACAGTTTTTTGTTTCTTCTACTATTTACCACAAAATTTTATCACACTGACCTTTTCATGTGATGGAACAATCACTTTAAAACTATACTACAACCACATTTCCTTTACAACAGATCTAGAGAACTAATATTTCATGTTATACTGCAACTATGTTATCAGCACAGACAAATTGCATTGACCGTATATTCATTTGTGATAAACAGTCACTGACTGTTTATTGTTTGTGACCTTGATAATGTGTTTCCGAAGAGTTTTATTTATGATGTCAATAAAGAATACAGGTTCTTGGAATTTTACTGTCATCCGCTTCAAATTCGAAATTAATGGTTTCCACCCAAAATATTTCATTTGGAACAAGTTAAAGAGTTGAAGTATAAAGAGAACATCAAAATATAAATTTTATTTGTATTCTGCCCCAAACATGATAGAAATGCTGGCCTCACTTTCTACCTATTTCTTAGCCTTGCACAAATAAATGTTATATTTTGAGACATTATTGTATATGTAAAGTAACACCAAGCATAGATAAATACCAGTAGAATTCACTAAGTGATTCACTTAGCTAAATCTTTTACTTAAATAATTTGTAATATTTACCGGATGTGTGTAAAAAGAGATGTAACATGGGATGTTTGTCTGGCAGTAGACCTCTCGCCATCCTCAGAGCTTCTGTAGCATGATAATGGTAATCCATGTTATCAAAATTCTGTACTACAAGTAATGCTTTAGCAAGAGCTCTGTGAGCCAGAGCAAGCTGGATTGTCTCACAACCATAGACTATCTTAGCTGTATCCAATGTATGCTACAATAAAGTAAATTAAATCATTTTATACTGAGCATTCACACAACACATCTTTATCTTTGTTGGAAGGGAACAAATTAAGCCATAGTCATCCAGTTACATTTATATTCTGTTCAATATTTTCTTTGTTATTTAATGACAATATCTAAGTAATTTTTCTAAAGTAAATTTGAATGTAAACAATATCCTAAAGGCCTCTTTATAACTAATACTCTAATTATTGTCATGTTCGTTAATGCTAAAGTGTGAAAGATAGGGTATCCCATTAAAAAATGTAATGATTTTCCAATACAACTCTTTTGCCATTAGTACATTTTTGCAAAAATGTCAGTTTTAGGGTATTAATATTTCTTTAGCACATTTTACTTACCTTAGCCACATCTACACCTGGTTGGTCTTGTTTAAATTCACTTGAGAAATGACAAAAGTGAAGTAAGGCTTTGACGTACAGTGGATGTCTACATCCAAAGTGTTCCCTGTAAAGATAAATTTTTCATTGAAGGAAGTCTCTAACCAAAATTTATGAACTTGTTTCTGATACACAATATATACCTTTACTTCCAAAAGAATTTGGGGTTTGGTTAAGAATGTCCTTCTTACACATTTTACACATGGCAAAATTACAGTTTTGAGCTCACTTTACATGTTTGTACATTATGAGCTGTCATACTGTAAAATTTGGTAAAATTAAAAAACTTTTTGAAAATGGCCTTCACAGGTATGAAATAAATTCTGAGGAAAGTGCCATACCTCTTTAGCAATTTAATTTTAATTTAAATTGAAACCAAAATTCAACAGATTTATTTCCTAAATAGAAAGTTTTCCACATTTATTTCCTTAAATATTTTGACAAACAAATATGGACTTACTTTGCCTGTTGCACAGCTTCTACAGCTAGTGTTTCTGCTCTTTTAATGCTCCACTTGGCTGAGTAAACCATAACAGCTTGACACAATGCATGGATAATGTTGGCTGGATCCTCTGTTTTGACTTCCTATGAATGCATTATTTAGAATCTTATTGTTTTACATTACTTTTTTCTGTCAGTCTATATTCAAATATACAAACTGTGTGGTGTAAAATTTGTTTCTTTCACTTTGATTATAGCTTTTGCGAATGGAATCTAAAATTACATCAGTGCAATTGAATGTAAGGTCCAATTGAACATTTTTCAAATCTTCAGTTTTCTCATTTAATTGAAATGATCCCATTTAAAGTGCTGTTTCTTCAATTCAGTATCATGCACCTGCAATAGGTGTATCATCATTTCTGTATGTTTTCATCTAAAGTATTGATTATGTTACTAATTTGACTGGCTGCATGTATACTACATGTATATATGTAATGCATCTGGTCAAACAGAATCTAGTGCCAAGGTTTTTATATAAAGTGTTGTTCCTTCAATGCAGTAGTAATCATGCACAGATACATGTATCATTATAGAATATGAGACAAATATATATATAGTCATGATAGTATTGATTTTGTAACTAAGTGACCCCTTATATATATAAATACACTTTATACATTTGGTCAAATGGGAGTCAGTGTCTAAACTAAATATAGCACATGCAACTTAATAAGAGTATATCATTTTTATAAAATGCAAACTCAAAGAAAAGCAGGTAAAAATTGGACAAAAAAATCAATATGGCAACAAATGATAAAAATGTGCCACTTTTTTTACTCAATATAATTATGACATTTGTAAAGTAAAAGGTATACATTTGAAAACATATACATTGTGTAACAAATTCTTTTGTTTTGTGTTTTTTCTGAATGTGTTGTAGCCAAAACAAAAGTTGTATACATAATCATATTGAACACTATATCATGCAAAAGTAAAAAAAAAACACTACTGGATTATCCATCTATGTTACCTCTTCACTGTATTCCTAAGTATATATAAAATAAAACAGAAGAGAAAGTGTACTCTTTATAGAATGATTCCCAAGAAATTTTCTGATCTCTATCACAGTAATTCTTTGAGTTATCTCCCCTTTCCTGTACAATGTACTAAAATATATCTCTTTATACAGTAACATTTTCTACATGGATCTTTACACTGTAACATAAAAGCAGACCTATGAGATAAACTGTCATACCATTTCGTTATTTTGAAAACTGTTTTCTTACAGATTAAATTATATATATACCTTCATTGCCTTTTGAATATAACCAAATGAAGAGTTTGCTGAGCCATATTCCAACATTAAAGTGCTCAACTCGATAAAGTATTCTCCTTTATCAACCAGATCCTGACCAAAAGACATCATATTTATTTTCCACATTAATTCATTGGATAAATTGTAGGCCATCTGAACTCCCTGAAAATCATAGTTCATATTGCGGAAATGCATCAGTTTAACTAAACCTTTATATTTTGCCATCCATGTGTCCATGTTTTGTGATTTGTTAAGAACCATCAGCAGTACTGTCATAATCACCTCTGCCTGAGTAAAATAACCATACTCAGCTACAAAATCTATCAGATTGAATCCTAACTTCACAGCTTGTTCCATGTTTACTCCTCCCTTTGTTGGTTCCATGTTGTTCATAATAGAAGCAAAGGAACTAACAATATCTACCATTAAATTCACATCAGAAAGTTCTAAATTTTTCAAATATTTAAAGTAAAAGTGGTAATTGTCCTTATCAAAGAGAACTTCATGAACAACATCACACATACACAGTTCAAAACCTTCAGGCAGAAGTTTTCTCCTAGCCATTACTGTAACAAGTTCTAGTTTTCTCATTTTTTCTAGAGTTTTGGTTTCTGCAGCAAGCTGTTCTTTATCTACTAAAGCAGGTGACTCCTGCAGCCTTTTAAAATGATCTTCTGGTACCTGAAACATATATATATTATTGTAGCTATTGGTAAAGATGCATGTACAAAGATATCAGAAATATTTGTGGTTACCAAAAGGTTTTTTAGTATCCTTTCAAAATTTTGGTTTATTTTAAATTGCAATTTATCAAAGCTGGATAGGAATAAACTATCAGCGTAATTACTGCCTTTATAAAATGTAAGTTTTAATGAGAAATTCCTACTTGTAACTATCTACATGTAAACCCTACTGTTAACAACATCTTACCTGTATTAATGATCTAAAGTTATCTGGTGTGGATACCTGTTAATAACTAACATCTTACCTGTATTAATGATCTAAAGTTATCTGGTGTGGATACCCATTGCTGGAAGAATCCTTTCACTAGAGTCATGGAGTCCATCTGATCACTGCTCCATGGAATCATTTTATCCTCTCTCTCTGGTACTGTATCTCTAACTCCTTTCTCTGCTGTATAGTCTTCTTTGACAGTCATGACAGTTCCTTTATGCCTCTCACTATCTAAATTCAAGACATTTTGTGGAATGCTCTTTCTTGGTTCCTTGTCAATCATTGGTAATGGTTCATAATGTGGTAATTTCATAGAAGAGGCGTCTGATCCACTGAAGCGTGAGTTCTGGGATGTTGGTCTATGTATGACTGTGTTATCAAGAAATTCAACCATAGCTTTACATCTTTTCTTTACCTCTGGACCACCTTCAGGGTTCAGTAATGCTTCTCTGAAGCTCTGATACCAATCTTGAATGTGAGTTTTTGATGGAAGTAAATCAACCAGCCTTCGAGCTTTATCTGAGGGTGTTGTGCCCATGTCAATTTTTCTTTGGTCGTCTTCATTAATGACACCACAATCTTTGAGGTAGTTAAGAATGTACTCCACCCGCAGCTCCTGGACAATGGCAATCCTGTTGATTCTCAGCCTCATAATGTTCTGTCTATCTATTCCTGACATGACTACTGGTTCCTCTACTTTAGGCCTAAAATAGAATGAATTGTATAATTAATTCAGCAAAACGAAAAACAAAAGAAAATTTGAGGGGTAAGTATATTAACTGAAACAATACTTTTCAAAACAAACATTTTCCACAGTTTCAAAGTGACTTTATTTTTATGTCATTAATGTGCATTGAGAAATCCAAAAGTAACAATATTTTCAAGCAGTAAGCTTAAATATCCCATTTCTCACAGATATTTTTTCTGTTTACTAATAGTCTAACATCACAATTTCACAAAGTTTAAAAAAAAACAAAAACACTTACAAATAGGATATCTGCATGAGTATGAGCAATTGTTAATAGGGTTTAACTTTTCTTTGGTCTAGAAGTTAGAAACACAATATACATGTACAACACAAGTAATAATACTCAAGCTACACTTAAATTCAGTGAGAACTTGGACCATGTGTGCATTTGAAAATGTATGTTTACATGACCATTAGTGAGAAAACAGTGCCCCTTTTCCTTGCAAGCCAAAGTAAATTGATCAGTGTCAATTAAGAAAGGATTCATATATATATATATACACTTCCAAACACAAGGATTTATCTGACAATAGCAGTATTTGGATTGGTCTTAACAAGCTTGTTACAACTCATATACATTTTTGGTGTATTCTAATAGTTTTTATATGATTTGCATATCTACGAATACAATATACCATGGAAATAAATTCAAGGTGTAGTGAACAAAATCAGAAGAACCTTACAATGATTCTGAAGTTCAAATATAGTAAGTCAACCTTTTTTTTAATAGTAATTAACTGTGAAACTAACCAATTGACATATTTGAACTTAACATTGATTAAAAACCCCTTAAAATAAGATCCAGATGGGGTGAACTCAGTCAGAAGAACATTTTCATCCCTTTGAGTATTTTTAAAATGCAATGCATCTGATTTAAAGCAGGGAAATTTGTGTTAAAATCACCCCCCAAAAATGCCTTGTATAACATGCAGATGAAAATATGGATAACAAATTTTAGAAAGGGAAAAAGGGAAACAAATAAGGAAATAATAAAAGTGATTATAATTCATCAAAAATAAATTAAGAAATCAGCTGTTATGGTTTCATAAAAGATCTCAATTTGGAACTCCCTGGACTAAATTTCTAACTACCAAAATCATCAGCATTAGAAAAAAACTCATTTTAAAATTTGAGGGATATTCTATATTGCATTGAGATGCTTTATGAATTCTAACTCTGAACTCAAAAAATGCACAGCAAACAAAATTTACCTCCTTTCTATGTGATATGATTAGTACTGTTAATTAGCAAATCTGGAAAAAAGTTTTTTAACTGAATAATTTTACATAGTATAACACTGATAACTACAAATGTACATTGTATTCTAACAATAAATGTATGAACAGTTCCAGTGAATTTTCAAAAATAATCTAGCTTATTCTTTCCATCAAGCTAATTCAACAAAAAAATATGCTGGAAATTAATTTGATGCTGTCAGATCATTTTCATCTTTACTTGAAGCATAAATTTCATTCTGCTCCTTCATTCAACTAGAAAATCATAAGAACTTTGGTACAGGAAGACTTGCTCCAAGGCCAATCCTGAACAGTTCTATGGCAACTAAAAAAGGCAATATCTTACTGTTACAGTTGATTCTGTAAAAAATTTATAGGATGGAACAAATGAGCCAAGTTTGTTTAAGCATTATTTCATCTGTCATTTATCCTTTAATAAATACATATATAATACAGAGATTTTTAAATACTGATGACAAAACACATTTCATATTATCCCTTTATTCTGAATGTTACATCTGTAGAGGAAGTTACATATAAAATTGTGTAAACCACCTTCTTAAGTTAAGAAAGGCTCTATCTAGATGCTAAATCACTTTCACCTTCACAATCTCTTTTTCAAAATTTAAAATGAATGAAAATGAAAAAAAAGTATTATACATGTACATTGTACCATAACATTTTATGCTTGCTTGCACTTTATTGAAGCCTTTTAGTATATATTATGAACCAACTTAATTCATATCTTCAAACAACACATTTCCAACCCTCAAATTGAAACCATCAACTACTATAACTGAAAACATACATTGTAGTGTTATGGGTGTTAATGGATGAAATTTTGTAATAACTGCAGATGTGTCTATGACCAACTAATAAGTCTCTATTGTGTATGTCAGAAATTTTGACCCTCCCTTCAGATCCTTTAGCTAGTTATCAAAACCCATTTAGTAGTGGATTTAAACTACAGCAAAACAATCAGAAAGAGTTTCATATATCATCAGAACTAAGTTTTTCAACGTGATATAATGTCAACTTTTATCAAGATCATTACTATCTGTGAGTACTTTAATATAAAAATAAGGAGATGTGGTAGATTGATACAGAGAGAACTATCCACCAGAGTCCAGTTGATATGGATATATATGCAACTATTTCCTTATAACTCTTTCTGCCTTAAAAAATGAGCAAAACCAATACTATAGGGTCAGCTATAAATGGTTCCTACATGACAAAATGGAAAACAGTTCAACAGACAAACCCAAAGGCCTGATTTCTGACAAAACAATAAATGAATAACAAATAAGACAGACAGCAACTAACAACAACCACTGAATTACAGGCTTCTGACTTGGGACAGACACATAAAGAATGTGGCAGGGTTAAACATATGTGTTCAACATTCAACCCTCCCCGAACCTGGTACAGTGGTAAATTAGCACAAAATGAGAACAAGCTCTAATAATCAGTTGGAAAGGGCTGGACTCAGCAGATTGACAAGAAGCACAAAAAAACAGGGGTTTCCCTTATTTGGGACACAAATCATAAAAAATCTTAAGGGTGAAGTAACTGTTATACCTATTTCATGAAATTAAAGTATGTCGTTAATTTGTATTCAAAATATCATCCCATTATTGGTTTTATAAGCATGCCATAGAGTAACCAAAAGTCTTCTACAGGTGCCTGGGCTTCATATCATACCACTGTCAGGGCACTGAGTCTCCTTTCCTGACCTGAGCAATATTTATTATTTAATTATTGAAGTCTGTAATGTATTTGGAAGAATAAAAAGAGGAACTGAATATACCCTACCTTATGTGAATAAACAGACATGCATTCTTCTAGCTTTATTAAGCTTTTCTACAAGCCATGTTCAAAACTGCTTCCCTAGCAACGTGCATCTAACCATCTTGTTTACCCTCCATAGATTAATTTTAACCAAAAACATATTTAATGACATTGTTCAATTACTTACTGTTCTAAAATAAATGTGTTTCTTCTTATCATGTTGTCATTTCATTGTAAATTTCATGTAATATTTACGAAATGAGGAGAGTTGCAGGTGTTTGTGTCTAACTCGACTTTCAGAAGAAGTAGAATTAGGAGCGAGCATTTCCGGTTTAAGGACGTAGTTGTGCAACGCTCAAAATGATGCTTTTAAGACACTGCGAGGTTCATACATGTAACTTATTAAGGGCCATTTGTAGAGGAATCATTGTTCAATGATTTACAAATATCTTAGTAGAAGATGAAATTCATTTAAGTCTGTACAAACAGAGTCTGATCCTACTTACGACCTCAACCAGGTCCTCTTTTTATTCACCCCATTTATTGAATTAACCAGGTTATATTCATAAGATGCAACTTGCTGGGTAAAGAAATCAATTCCGTGATAAACACCAACTTCTATAGTATACCAATTTATCTTCCATTTGTCATGTTTGGCTCTCTGAGACTGGGGTATATTTTCATAGAAATCTGGTAACCTTGGTCTGCTTCTGATCAGCAATAAAACCCTTGCCAAAGTAGGACATCTCTTGAGCTGTGTGGGATTAAGGCATTTGCTGTCCCTTTCTGTCAGAATACACCTTATTGCTATTTGTCTGCCATAATTTACTGGACATCACAAAGGTTCTCGTAAAATTTAAACGTCATAATATAAAATATCTGACTCCACGATGGAAAAGTGATTGTTGTATGACGTCAATAGTTCAAGAGACGCAGATTCTCGGGTCAAGCGCACAGATTTCCAAATAGCTATAAGGTCGATAGGCCACTTCACGGATATTGCAGCCATATTGAATAGGGGGCATATTTTTTTGATAGAAGTGGAAATAGTATGAAAGTACGGGAATCCTATGCATGTTTCCAAGCAAGTGTTCTGTTTCATTGATGTTTTCCCTTATTTTAAAAACCATTTTTACCTCCATTATGAAAATCTGTCCCTATTCAACCTTGCTGCAATAACCGTGAAAGGGCCTATTGAGATGTTAAATTCGATGCGTCGTGTAAAGAGATCAAGTCTTACGCTCTTTACACGTTATAGAATCCTTGCAAAAAAATCTTTTGAGGGGTCCATTGGTGCTCTGTTGTACGGCAAATATATTATCCCCTATCCAAAATACCTTTTTTTTTTCAGTGGCAGTCCAAATTTATCATCTATCATCCTTTTTGTTATAATCGTTAATAGTTTCTCATCCTACATGTAAATATGCATGAAATAATTGCCACTGGATACCAAACAAGCAACAATAAGTTAACCTGTATTCTAATGTGACGAAGCTTAGGCTTTTATTAATTGTACATGATGATTGAATCCTAATGTTTTCATGGTTAAATGAGGATAGATATATGTTTTGTTTAACATGATGTGTACATTTTCATAAATATTTGTTCCAAAATTAGAATATTGTATGTGCCTCCTTTTAATGCAAAGCTGTAAAGTAGGTTTTTGAATTACTAAATATATTGATATCTGAGAAATTGTATAACATACATGTATTTATAAGAAATCCATCAATATGATTGTTCTTACTTTATCATTTATAAGAAGAAAATCTTGTGGTCACAATGGTATAAATTAAGTCTATACAAGCTGAACCTAAACCTCATGCATACCTTGCACATTTTTAGAAAAAGTAAAAAAAAACTGCTGGAATTGAGAAATCTTGTTTATTTACTATTTTATTATGGGGCTGGATCAAAGTGCGACTGTGTTTTCCATCTGTCTCTCTCACCAATTTAAAAGTTTCATGCAAAGTTAAAAGATGTGGAATGTTTGCAATTGACAATGCCGGCATTGAGACAACTATCTACTATAGAACAAGGCATGATGAGATGCATCAGATTTTCCTACTTGGCAGTATGTAAAAATTAAGCTATGAAAAGCTACAAATATTTTAAATCAAATATTTATCTTTTTGCAATTGTTTGTGTTAATTAGATATCTCAAGTTATTCATTATTTTTGCAGAGGTTGTTCAAACATGGGCACTGCATCAAAAGACTGCTACATAAATCACCATGTCGCCCATATACTATAGTGGTGCCTTCAGTAATAGGGGGAAAATCAACTGATAGAGAAAGGGTTATGGATATATTTTCACGATTACTATTAGAGAGAATCATATGTATAAATGGACAGGTACTGTATATGTCATATATGATAAAAGAACTTCCATCATCAGGGTAATGACATTTCTTTAGTCCCTGTTTTATTCTACTCTAGACATTTATTTAATTTTATTAGCATATACATGATATATAAAACTTAAGATATTTGCTTGAATTAATCACAGAAAAGCAATTTTTTTTTTAAAGATATTTTCATACGACCGCAAAAAAATTTTCGGCGTCGTTGTCGTCGTCCGGCGTCGTCATCCGAAGACACATTGGTTTTCACACTCTAACTTTAGTTAAGTGAATGGATCTTTTTGAAATTTGACCATAAGGTTAAATACCACAAAAAGAAGGTTGGGATTGATTTTGGGGGTTATGGTACCAACAGTTGAGGAATTAAGGGCCAAAAAGGGGCCAAAAATAAGCATTTTCTAGTTTCCAGACAATAACTGTGGAACGGTGTATGGATCTCTCTGAAATTATACTACAAGTTTCCATACTTTGCAAAAAAGGGGGAAATCAAGGTTGTCCTGGTTAATGGACAAATACTTTAGTACAAAACATAATTTAAAGCAGTGTAAGGGAGATAAATCAAATACATCATTGAAATTATCTCCCTTATACTGCTTTTAAATTATGTATAAAGTAATGGTTAATGAACAATAAAGATAATTTAAAACAGTGTAAGGGAGGTAATCCAAATACAACGTTTTGGTTACTTCCCTTACACTGCTTTTAAATTATGTTTAAAGAAATGCATATTAATAAAGGAAGACCAGTAAAAATATCTGCAAATGTTGCATCTTTTTTTTAACAAAAAAATCCATATGAAAGATTTGACACTATATTTTTAATTCTATTATAAAATAGATTAAGTTAGCACTATGGTAAATTTAAATGGGTAATTATGGTTGCCAACTCCATTGGAAATTTGAATTGAGATTATGACCATATCTTGAGGGAAAGAATTTTTGGGGGGAAGAAAGGGGGGGGGGGGATAAAAAGAAATTGTGGGGGGTCAATTTTTTCTCATTTCAGATTTCAGAAATTAAAAAGAATTATTCTTTAAATATTATTTTTTTTTCAAATTTCAAATATTGAAAAATTTCAAGAAGTAATCTTTAATTGCACAGTATGGCGCATTAGATTTGTAAATATTTGTTATGCCGAATCTAACAGTGTATTTAGATTTTTAATTTTGGGTCCAGTTTTCAAATTGGTCTACATTTAGGTCCAAAGGGTCCAAAATTAAACTTTGTTTTATTTTAGCAAAAATTGAATATATGAGGTTCTTTGATATGCTGAATCTAGACATGTATTTAGATTTTTGATTTTTGGCCCAGTTTTCAAGTTTGTCCAAATTGGGGTCCAAAATTAAACTTTGTTTAATTTCAACAAAAATTGAATATATGGGGTTCTTTGATATGCTGAATCTAACCATGTATTTAGATTTTTTATTTGTGGACCCTGTTATCAAATTGGTTCATATTGAGGTCAAAAGGGTCCAAAATTAAACTTTGTTTGATTTCATCTAAAATTGAATTATTGGGGTTCTTTGATATTCCAAATCTAACCGTGTATTTAGATTTTTAATTTTGGGTCCTGTTTTTTAAATTGTTCTACATTAAGGTCCAAATGGTCCAAAATTAAACTTAGTTTGATTTTAACAAAAATTGAATTCTTGGGGTTCTTTGATATGCTGAATCTAAACATGTGTTTAGATTTTTGATTATGGACCCAGTTTTCAAGTTGGTCCAAGATAGGGTCCAGTATTTAAACTTTGTTTGATTTCAACAAAAATTGAATATATGGGGTTCTTTGATATGCTGAATCTAAACATGTATTTAGATTTTTGATTATGGGCCCAGTTTTCAAGTTGGTCCAAATTGGGGTCCAAAATTAAACTTTGTTTGATTTCAACAAAAATTGAATATATGAGGTTCTTTGATATGCTGAATCTAACCATGTATTTTGATTTTTTATTTGTGGGCCCCGCTATCAAATTGGTTCATATTGAGGTCAAAAGGGTCCAAAATTAAACTTTGTTTGATTTCATCAAAAATTGAATTATTGATATTCCAAATCTAACCGTGTATTTATATTTTTAATTTTAAGTCCCGTTTTTTAAATTGGTCTACATCAAGGTCCAAAGGGTCCAAAATTAAACTTAGTTTGATTTTAGCAAAAATTGAATTCTTGGGGTTCTTTGATATGCCGAATCTAAACATGTGTTTAGATTTTTGATTATGGGCCCAGTTTTCAAGTTTGTCCAAGTTGGGGTCCAAAATTAAACTTTGTTTGATTTTAACAAAAATTGAATATATGGGGTTCTTTGATATGCTGAATCTAACCATGTATTTTGATTTTGGACATTGGACCATAATAGGTAAATTAAAAAAGTTCTTAGACCACATTCTTTCTGTGTCAGAAACCTATGCTGTGTCAAATATTTAATAACAATCCAAATTCAGAGCTGTATCAAGCTTGAATGTTGTGTCCATAATTGCCCCAACTGTTCAGGGTTGGACCTCTGCGGTCGTATCAAGCTGCGCCCCAGCGAAGCATTTTATTATTTCTGTAGTAGTAGAACTTTTAAAAACTTTTTTTAGAAAAGGGGGGGGGGGGGCAGCTTTTGAATATGTCTATATTAAGGCAAATCTTAATGACAGTAATTTTTTACCATACTTATTTTTGCTGAGATGAAAAAAAAAAGAGATATTTTTTTAAAGTTTCAAATACTTCAGTATTTTTAACACTAAACATAAAATAAACCAAAGCTACAAAGATGCTACATTGTTAATAGTAAAACATATACATGTAGTTTTAATTTTTTACAGATTGATGATCAGATGTCCAGTATTGTTATAGCTCAGTTGCTTTATCTCCAATCAGAAAGCTGGCGAGATCCTATAAATCTTTATATAAATAGTCCAGGTTAGTTTCACTTGCTTGAATTCTTTATATAATACACTAGTAATGTTATATGTAATCTCTACATTGGAATTGTAATTCAAGAAATACATGTATTAAACATTTTTTTTTAGCTTATTTGGCCATGTGTCATGTGAGCTATTGCCATAACTTGATGTTCTATTGTAAACTAATAAAAAAATCCTCTCCTGAAACCAGTGAGTGAACCCAGTTAAACTAAACTTTGGCTGAATTATGACCTTAAGGGTATTTAGTATAAAGTTTGTGCATTTTGTTCCCACAAATCAGACATGAGCACCATGTCTACAAATAGAACATAAGTGTAAATTGCATTAATAGTCTAATATCTCGAAAGAAAACCATGATAGATAGAAAAAAATTTGATTGCAGAAAAGGTTGAAATAAATATCAAATTGCTAAATTTTTTTTCCAGGGGGTTGATTCAGGCTCCTAAGCCTCTTGATTTTTGTCTTGCCTATAACTTATATCCTTACAGCACATCTTAGGTATTACATTTTATGTATAATCATATGTCTATTTTACCCTATAATGTATTGTTAACTAATGTTGCTTGTGTGTTTTTCTCTACCAAGATATTAATGTGAATAATTTTGGAATCATATTGAACAGTAACCTTTTAAGGGGTTTGTGTGCTGTATTGTGCATTAGATATTTGTAATTACTAAATCACTCTGAAAATCTCCCTAGGTGGTGTTGTGACAGCAGGATTGGCGATATACGACACAATGCAATACATTGATACACCTATTTCAACATGGTGCATAGGACAGGCCTGTAGTGCAGCATCATTATTACTGACAGCTGGTACAGATGGAATGAGGCGTGCATTACCTAACTCTAGAATTATGATCCATCAGCCTAGTGGAACTGCTGGGGTAGGTTTGATAGTACATGTTTAATTGATACATGTACAAGGTCACATTGAAATCAGGATCCTTATAAAATAGTCCACACATATTTATAATTTTTTTAAAAACTTAAATACACAGTTGTGTTCGAAATTAAAAAAAGACATTTTGACTGTTCGAGGATTATCATGAATAATTGTGTGGCAAAATGTCAATGAGAAAGCAACCCAATGACAAAAATATATATAAAAACATAATTGTTCGTCAATTAAGGTGTTGATTAGGTCACACAGAGGAGATATAGTTCTGTGTAAAGTTTATTTGAATCAAGATTTGAAAGGATTTTATGATATAGAAAGTTTAAGCATGCATGTATTTGAAAGGATATTTTGAATCCAATTGTTTTAAAATAAAGCAAGTTTTGTAAATGTTTGATTTTGAAATCTAAGTTCTTTTAAATGTTTCATATTATGGTATTCTATTATATTTTCTCAGGGTTCAGTAACTGATATTCAGATTAAAGCAGAAGAGATGCTGAAAATGAAGAGACAAGTTAATGACTTGTATGTTAGACATACCAAGAAACCACTCAGTGAAATAGGTAGGAATTTGTATCCATAAATATAGATGCAGGTAGTAGAAATCATAGTTATATGCAATTTATATTTTTGTTAGATTTGACGTTCTTTAAGATTTTAATAGCAGACAAGATATGAATTTGAACATTATCCTTGTTACACTTAAAGTACACAATACTTATTTATACCAGTGCCTTGTGAATGAAATTCCTGAATTCTTTTAGCCATTCTTTTTGCAAAATACATTTAGTGTGTAGTCTATTGTAGAATGAAAATACTATTGCATAAAGAATATAATACATCTACCATTTATTAGTGCCCTGCTGACTTGTTCGCAAGGCTGTATCACTGTGTCTGTTTTCATCCATCCACACTTTTATGTTGTACTATAAGTCAAGATCGCCTCAACAGATTTCCATAATTTTATGCAAAAATTCAAACCTATGAAGGTAGGTTCTTTTCCATTTTTGTGAAAATTGGACAAAAGTTACGGTAAAATCATAGTTTTTATTTAAATATCACAAACTTTGAGAAACATCTTTTGATGTTTGGATTATAAGACGCTTGATATAAAGGTATAATAAGCTATTATAAATTGATTCCTAAATTGGTGTTAAAAATCAATTTTTGTGAAAATTGGAAAATAAATTGATGGTGAAAACAAGGTTTACAAATATTTTTTGGTCATCCAGATATTTTTTTCGATACATTTTTATTCCCTTCAGCTATATAAATGACCGTAGTCCAGCCAATCAGGGTAACCATAAGTGTTTTAAAGGTAATGGATTTGTTTACAATGATTGGAAATGATTACTATGTACTATGATTCAGGTTTCCTTACTTGACAGTGTGTCCTTTGAAGTGAGGAAGGCTAGCACTATTTGCAGATATTTCAAAATCTGACCCAATTGCAATTTCTTTGATCACTTGATTGTTAGTCTTCCTTTTCACTATTTGCGGTTCTTTCAAAATCTGACCCAATTACAATTTCTTTTTATCAAAACAAACTGTTCATATGGTCAGAAATTTTACCAAAATGCTGTAGAAGAACCACAGACAAGCATCGATCTTAGAAGTGCACTGTGAAAAATAAAGCATTAACATGTAATGCTTTGTTTGCATCAGAATTTGTTTCTTTTCTATACCCAAAAATGTGCAAGCAGGGCTCTTACTGACATTTCCTCCTAGCATGAGTATATTAAGTCAATGGATTCAATTAAATCTATGAAGCCAACGGATACATTATTATCAAATTATGGAAATAACTATATTTACTAGTAAATGTGTATTGTATTATTTGTGTGTGATTGTATTGTTGGTATTTTCCTTGCAGAAAATGTTATAGAAAGAGACAAGTATATGAGCCCAATAGAAGCTAAAGAATTTGGATTAATAGATGAAGTTGTAGAAAAGCCTCCAGAAAAATCACCACATTCATGATATGAACTTACAGTATTTAAAATGTAGAGACACATAAAGAAAGTCCTTTAGTAATGTATATGCAATGGCATAAATATATGATGGAAGAGTGCATACAAATAGTAAATTTCAAATGGTTTGTTGTGCAGAAAATGAACCCATTTCACAGGAAACTTTAAAAAATGCATTTAAAAGTTGAACTATATATCTATATATATTATTTTGAATTTATTGTTGATACAAATTATTAAGATATCTTAAATTAAAGTTTTTATTTCAAACATATAATTGTAATTTTTAATTTGTCATTGGACACCTTATTGTTTTGTGGATCAGCTGCAAAGGGTGCATTGTAGTTGTATATCCATTTCATTCTGAGAAACTTGAATTGTACATTTTAATGAGTTGGTAAAATCTGATGAAAACCATATCTTCACTCATTCCAGTTTACTAATATGTCATATGAAGAGGGTTAATATTAGGTGAATCATTAAAGTCGAATTTTATTGACTACAAAAGGTTTTTATGCCCCCGCCGTAGCGGTGGGGGCATTAAGTTTTACCCTTGTCCGTCTGTAAGTACGTACTTTTGTCTGTCCCTACGTCCCAAAATTGGTTTCCATTCTCTAACTTGAGTTTGCCTCAACCAAATGTTATGAAACTTATACACAATGCTTATTACCACAAAACACAGATCAAGTTTGAATTTTGGTGGTGTCACTTTAACCGTTCTAGTGTTATTATGCCCCTTTATAAATGGAAAAATTGCAAAATTTTTAGTTTCCGTTCTCTAACTAAAGTTTGCCTCAACCAAATGTTATGAAACTTATACACAATGCTTATTACCACAAAAACCAGATCAAGTTTGAATTTTGGTGGCATCACTTTTACCGTTCTAGAGTTATGCCCCTTTAAAAATGGAACAATTGCAAAATTTTTAGTTTCCATTCTCTAACTTAAGTTTGCCTCAACCAAATGTTATGAAACTTATACACAATGCTTATTACCACAAAACACAGATCAACTTTGAATTTTGGTGGCGTCACTTTTACTATTCTAGAGTTATGCCCGTTTATAAATGGAAAAATTGCAAAATTTTTATTTTCTTCTAAATATCCAGTAATTTTTATACGACCGCTAAAAATGCGGTCGTATATTGGTATGACGTTGGCGTCGTCGTCGTTGTCCGAAGACACATTGGTTTTCACACTCTAACTTTAGTTTAAGTGAATGGATCTCTATGAAATTTTACCAAAAGGTTCAATACCACTAAAGGAAGGTTGGGATTGATTTTGGGGGTTATGGTACAAACAGTTAAGGAATTAGGGGCCAAAAAGGGGCCGAAAATAAGCATTTTTGTAACTTCCAGACATAACTTGTGTGTTAGTGTATGGATCTCTCTGACATTGTACCACAAGGTTCCATATCACACAGGGAATGCTGGGATTGATTTTGGGGGTAATTGCTTCAAAATGGTAGGAATTAGGGGCCAAAAAAGGGGCAAAAAACAAGCATTTTTCTAGTTTCATGACAATAACTTGTGTGTAAGTGTATGGATCTTTCTGAAATTGTACTAAAAGGTTCTATATCACAAAGGGAAAGCTGGAATTGAGTTTAGGGGTAATTGCTGAAACGTTTAGGAACAAGGGGCCAAAAATAAGCATTTTTATAGTTTCCAGACAATAACTTGTGTTCAAGTGTATGGATCTCTCTGAAATTGTACTGCAAGGTACCATACCACAAAGGGAAGGCTGGGATTGATTTGGGGGGTAATTACTTCAAAATTTTAGGAATTGGGGGCCAAAAAAGGGGCAAAAAAAAACAGCATTTTTTTAGTTTCCAGACAATAACTTGTGTTCAAGTGTGTGGATCTCTCTGAAATTGTACTGCAGGTACCATACCACAAAGGGAAGGCTGGGATTGAGTTTGGGGGTGATGAATCATAAGGGGGATCAAAAAATTGGGGGGTGGGGGATTTTTTTTTCTTTAAAATTTTCCATTTTAAATTGGTTATTTCTGATTTATATATAAAAGCAAATAATAATGATATGGTTTGAAAAGGTAAATTAAAAAATTTTTAAGTTCTTAGACCACATTCATTCTGTGTCAGAAACCTGTGCTGTGTCAAATATTTAATCACAATCCAAATTCAGTGCTGTATCAAGCTTGAATGTTGTGTCCATACTTGCCCCAACTGTTCAGGGTTGGACCTCTGCGGTCGTATCAAGCTGCGCCCAGCGGAGCATTTTATTTAAAATTGGAGTTATCTTCCTTTGTCCATGATTATAGTTGAATCAACTACAATCAATGCTTTATACAATGCAATGTTTAATTATGACTTCCACTGATAAAACACGGATCGAGTTGAATTTGGGTAGTGTCACTAACCATTATTGAGTTATGCCCCTTTATAAATCGAAAGATTGCAAAATTTTTAGTTTCCATTCTGTAACTTAAGTTTGCCCCAACCAAACATTATGAAACCTATACACAATATTCATTACCACAAAACTAAGATCAAGTACTAATTTTTTGTTTCCATTTTTATACGACCGCAAAAAAATTTTGTGGTCGTATATTGGTATGACGTTGGCGTCTTCGTCGTTGTCGTCGTCGTCGTCGTCGTCCGGCGTCGTCGTCGTCCGGCGTCGTCGTCCGAATACACACTGGTTTTCGCACTCTAACTTTAGTTTAAGTGAATGGATCTTTTTGAAATTTGACCATAAGGTTAAATACCACAAAAGGAAGGTTGGGATTGATTTTGGGGGTTATTGTACCAACAGTTAAGGAATTAGGGGCCAAAAAGGGGCCAAAAATAAGCATTTTCTAGTTTCCAGACAATAACTGTGGAACAGTGTATGGATCTCTCTGAAATTATACTACAAGTTTCCATACCACAAAGGGATTGTTAGGATTTGCTTTGGGGGGTTATGGCTCAAACCGTTTAGGAATTAGGGGCAAAAAAGGGGGAAAAACAAGGTTGTCCTGGTTAATGGACAAATACTTTAGTACAAAACATAATTTAAAGCAGTGTAAGGGAGATAAATCAAATTCATCATTGAAATTATCTCCCTTACACTGCTTTTAAATTATGTATAAAGTAATGGTTAATGAACAATAAAGATAATTTAAAACAGTGTAAGGGAGGTAATCCAAATACAACGTTTTGGTTACTTCCCTTACACTGCTTTTAAATTATGTTTAAAGAAATGCATATTTATAAAGGAAGACCAGTAAAAATATCTGCAAATGTTGCATCTTTTTTTTTTACAAAAAAATCCATATGAAAGATTTGACACTATATTTTTAATTCTATTATAAAATAGATTAAGTTAGCACTATGGTAAATTTAAATGGGTAATTATGGTTGCCAACTCCATTGGAAATTTGAATTGAGATTATGACCATATCTTGAGGGAAAGAATTTTTTTGGGGAAAAAAGGGGGGAATAAAGAAATTGTGGGGGGTCAATTTTTTCTTATTTCAGATTTCAGAAATTAAAAAGAATTATTCTTCAAATATTATTTTTTTTTCAAATTTCAAATATTGAAAAATTTCAAGAAGTAATCTTTAATTGCACAGTATGGCGCATTAGATTTGTAAAATCTTTGATCACATTTATTTATTTGTTATGCCGAATCTAACAGTGTATTTAGATTTTTAATTTTGGGTCCAGTTTTCAAATTGGTCTACATTAAGGTCCAAAGGGTCCAAAATTAAACTTTGTTTGATTTTAGCAAAAATTGAATATATGAGGTTCTTTGATATGCTGAATCTAAACATGTATTTAGATTTTTGATTTTTGGCCCAGTTTTCAAGTTGGTCCAAATTGGGGTCCAAAATTAAACTTTGTTTGATTTCAACAAAAATTGAATATATGGGGTTCTTTGATATGCTGAATCTAACCATGTATTTAGATTTTTTATTTGTGGACCCCGTTATCAAATTGGTTCATATTGAGGTCAAAAGGGTCCAAAATTAAACTTTGTTTGATTTCATCTAAAATTGAATTATTGGGGTTCTTTGATATGCCAAATCTAACTGTGTATTTAGATTTTTAATTTTGGGTCCTGTTTTTTAAATTGGTCTACATTAAGGTCCAAAGGGTCCAAAATTAAACTAAGTTTGATTTTAACAAAAATTGAATTCTTGGGGTTCTTTGATATGCTGAATCTAAACATGTGTTTAGATTTTTGATTATGGGCCCAGTTTTCAAGTTGGTCCAAGATAGGGTCCAGTATTTAAACTTTGTTTGATTTCAACAAAAATTGAATATATGGGGTTCTTTGATATGCTGAATCTAAACATGTATTTAGATTTTTGATTATGGGCCCAGTTTTCAAGTTGGTCCAAATTGGGGTCCAAAATTAAACTTTTTTTGATTTCAACAAAAATTGAATATTTGAGGTTCTTTGATATGCTGAATCTAACCATGTATTTAGATTTTTTATTTGTGGACCCCGTTATCAAATTGGTTCATATTGAGGTCAAAAGGGTCCAAAATTAAACTTTGTTTGATTTCATCAAAAATTGAATTATTGGGGTTCTTTGATATGCCAAATCTAACCGTGTTTTAAGATTTTTAATTTGGGTCCCGTTTTTTAAATTGGTCTTCATTGAGGTCCAAAGGGTCCATAATGAAACTTAGTTTGATTTTAACAAAAATTGAATTCTTGGGGTTCTTTGATATGCTGAATCTAAACATGTGTTTAGATTTTTGTTATGGGCCCAGTTTTCAAGTTGGTCCAAGTTGGGGTCCAAAATTAAATTTTTTTTGATTTCAACAAAAATTGAATATATGGGGTTCTTTGATATGCTGAATCTAACCATGAATTTAGATTTTTTATTTGTGGGCCCCGCTATCAAATTGGTTCATATTGAGGTCAAAAGGGTCCAAAATTAAACTTTCTTTGATTTCATCAAAAATTGAATTATTAGGGTTCTTTGATATTCCAAATCTAACCGTATATTCTAGATTTTTAATTTTAAGTCCCGTTTTTTAAATTGGTTTACATTAAGGTCCAAAGGGTCCAAAATTAAACTTAGTTTGATTTTAGCAAAAATCGAATTCTTGGGGTTCTTTGATATGCTGAATCTAAACATGTGTTTAGATTTTTGATTATGGGCCCAGTTTGCAAGTTTGTCCAAGTTGGGGTCCAAAATTAAACTTTGTTTGATTTTAACAAAAATTGAATATATGGGGTTCTTTGATATGCTGAATCTAACCATGTATTTTGATTTTGGACATTGGACCATAATAGGTAAATTAAAAAAATTCAAGTTCTTAGA